TATAATATATATTTTTTTCAAGTGCTTCACCTGCATTTCCATCCTCAATATACCTCTTTTGCCACCTGTGCCGCCCATTGCCCAAGCTGAAATGTAAAAGGAAGTAAAACCTTAAAGCCGAGGTCAGCCACACATTAAAGCTAAATTCTTTAAAATTTCCCATAGTAAAGGCCTAAAACAAACATTTCATCAGCTCCGCTCGCACATTCTAATGACGATGCCCACGTGACACAATTAACTCGTCTTTTTCTCATTGTCGTCGTTATTGTTGCTGTTGTTGTTGTTGTAGTGGGTATTGCTGTTGATGAGGGTTTCTAGCGAGTGGACATTCGGTGTCACATAGTTGCCCACTTTTAATAGACTTTTTGTGCTGAATTTGGTTTGTTTTGTCTGGCTTTTGTCTTTTTATTATTTCTTTTTTGTCCGAGTCAATGGTCAACAGCTTGTCTGCTGGAATGAGCTGTTAACTTGGCTTTTGTTGCAGCACACTCTCGCCACTCCACCTGCCCCTTTTTTGTCGAGTCGTTAATGCTGATCATAAGCTAAGCCAAAAAAAAAAAAAAATGCTTTGGCCATGGCTTAGAGCTCGCTAGCTTTTCCCAACACGTTTTCAATGCATTTACTGTTTGTCGTTGTTATTGTTGTCGTTGTTGTTGTCGTTGTTGTTGTTGTCGTTTTTGTTGTAGTCGTCTTTCCTAACTGTTTACTTTCACTGTCTGTTGGCATCAGTTTTGGCCGCTACGGTAGCCAGAGGGGCACACTTTCGGCCACCTTTTGCCGTTGTTGCTGCTGCTGCTGCTGCTGCTGCTGCTGCTGCTGGCTTGGCCAACTGCCTTGGCCAGACTCATAATTATTTACACCTTTTAACGGCCGGGTCTTAAATATTCGCTTAGCCAACTGGGTCGCAAATCAATTTCACTTGAAATGAAAGCACTCTCCTCTCGCTCCGCGCATTCATCCACTGCTCCAAAGATGGACTTGTCAACGGCTCTGAGCTCTGTTGGGCATTATGCATAACCATAACATGCCAGCTCCAATGCCAGTCGAATATTTCGCATTCGGCTTTTATCGCTTTCACCTGTTGGCCATTTAGAATGTATATGTATGTATATGTATGTATTTAGATGTATCTATGTTTACATATATACAAAGATGTAAACACATTATTGAATTTTTCATTGATTTTTTTTTTTTTTTTTTTTTTTTTTTTTTTTTTTTTTTTTGTTTTTTTTTTTTTTGTACTTATTGTTTTTCTTCATTTTTTTAATGACATGCATTTATGACAGAGAAAAGATGCTGCTTGTAAAAGAGATTTACATTCTTTGTGTGTGTGTCTTGTTGTTTGTTGTTGTCTTTGTGAATATTTGTGAATTATGTTTCTTCTGCTTCTGCTTCTGCTTCTGCTACTACTGTGAATTGCCCAATTCATCTCGCTGCGAAAGTGCCGTACGATTCTGCTTAAGAGTATATATGTATGTTTATAGATATATATATATGTTTTCTTGAGGGTATTATAAATTAAGCGCTTAGCGACTTGGTGCTTGTGAGCAGCGCGCTTTCAAAATAACTTAAACAAATATTTCTAAAAGCCGATTAGAAATAAGTTGAAGCCAAAATGCATAAAGCGAACGCCGCCAGCTGGGCAAACGGTCCAAGTCGCTGATAAACATCTAAAGTACAATATGTATTCAATAACAAATGTGTGATTTACAAAAAAAAAAGCCTACAGTGAACTATGGTTACAGAGAACGTACGTGCGTGTGTGCGTGGAAGCTAGAGCGTTATAAAGTGACAGCAAGAGAGCAGCAGAAAAAGTTAGGATGAGAGCGTGAGGGAGAGAAGATGTCGAGTGAGAATGGGAGCGATAGAGAGTGAGATGGAGATAAGGTGACAAAGAAATAAGAGATAGCTATATTGTGAAGCTGAAGGTGCAAAAGGAAATGAGAAAGTTCACAGAGCTTGAGTGAAAATTGGAAAAGTCGTTCGAATTAAGACGAGTTCGAAATTTGTAATTTCAGTTCAGTTCAGTTCAGCTTTGAGTGCATGAGGCAAGAAAACTATGGCAAGTTATGGCGTTTGCGAATACCAAAACTATGACTCGAAGATAGATGAGAGTTGTGATAGATTGATAGATAGATAGATAGATAGATAGATATAAGAGCTAGTTTGTTGAGTTAAAGCTAGTTGCAGTAGTTGTTGTAGCTGTTATTGTCGCTTGTCGCTTGTTATTGTAAGACTAGAATTGCATGTAAAGAGTACAGTATAGCGTATATGGTAGAGTAGAGTAGAATAGAGTAGTTGTAGATGTAGTGTAGAGTAGAGTAGAGTACAGTAGAATAGAGTAGAGTATTGTAATTACATAGATAGTTCGTTGCATGGCAACCAACAGAGTTTTGGTATAGTCTTTAGAGTGATAGATGTCGATAGATGATAGATCGTGATATATAGTGATAGATAGCTACAGAGAATGTATGACTCAGAGACTGTGCGGTCAGCATGTTCGTGCGTTAGAGTGAGTAGCCGATAGACAAAGAGAGAGTGTGAGAGAGACAGTGAGAAACAGATGTAGCTAGATAGTGAGTGGGTGTTGTAAGTGGGTGCGAGCTTAGACCTAAGGCTGGACGCTGCACAGAGCCGCCGCCTGGGCTTATGAGTATTTGAAACGATTTGCATTAGGTACCGACTTTAACTCTCGCTTTGTGATATTTTTACAAACTTAACTTTAGCTTTAAATGATATGGTATGTAAGTATGTATGTATGTATGTATGTACGTATGTACGTATGCCAAGCAACTAAATGCACGCACACTCAGCATGGGGGTTTCGTCTGCTCTGCTTCTTCTTCTCTTTTCGCTACAATGTCGTTTAACAATTCTTTCTCAAGTGATTTGATTTGATTTTCATTTTTTTTTTTTCTTTTTTGCGTTTTAGTTTCCGTTTTTTGTGTGCGTTGCTTTGCGCTTTTTCGTGTGGAAAAATAAATAAAATAAATTATATTAATAAATTAATTAAAACGAACAATAAATAATATGTGTTCCTCTTCAAGAGTCTGTATCTGAGCTGAATGGCTCAAGTCAGTGATTGGTTGTGGTTCGTGTGGTTGTTGTTGTTGTGGTTGTGGTTGTGGTTGATTGACTGTGACTTCACTTAAGCCTGAGGCTTCTGGGCACCATAGGCCAGATCCTGGGCATCAATGGAGCGTCCCCAGCCACCATGGCCGCTGCTGCCGTACGAAGCAGAGGAGGCGCCCGCATCGGCGCTGTAGCCGCTGCCGTATGAGTCGCCGTGGCTGACGGAGTGGCTGCTGCTGTGATGGGGATGGGCGACCACTTCGTAGGTGACGTGCTTCTCCTGCGACAGCAGCTTCTTCAGGCCAATGACGGCCGACAGCACCAGAGCGATCTTACCAATGAGCAGAGCCTTGCCGGCGATCAAAGCGATGGCACCCAGGAGCAGGGGCAGGAGGGCGGCGGCCTTCAGTGCAACCAGAGCCAGAATGGGGCCCAGGATTTTGGCGGCCTTCTTCTTCTTGCCACGGCTCTCCTCGGGCGCATTGGGATCGTTGCTGCCGAACAGCGACTCAGAGGCATCCTCCAAAGCGCGGCCAGTGGAGCTCACGGCCTGAACGATGTCGGCGCCCTTCAGTTCCACCTTGATGGTGTGCGAGTTGAGGAAGCTGCTGATGCGGTTCAGGGCGAGCGATTCGAACGACTCATCGGCTGAGATGGAGCGTGCGGCCTCCTGGACGGGCGCATCCGGTGAGCGGACAACAGTGACGCCCTCGGTGAGAGCAAATTGGTCGCGGGCTCCCAGCACCTTGTCGACGAAGTTGAACAGCTTGTACTTGACGCACGAGACCGAATCCTTGCGCAGGCAGTCGCTATAGATGCTATCCATAATGTCGTTGTCGCCGCCGATGGCGTTGCGGGCATGGCCGCGCGTTTCCTCGGCGGGGAGCGCAGCGGAGAGCGTCACCAAACACAAGACACCGAAAATAACTTTATTGTTTGCCATTTTTAATTGTTTGTTGTTGTTGTTGTTGCACTTTATTGTGTTGTTGTTGTTGTTCTTGTTGTATAGTCCTTTAAGGGCTGTGAACACTGTTTGGGCTTTTGTACCGCACACAAATCGACAAAACGCACTTTCTCTTTTTTCTTGTATTTCGTTTCAACTCAAGAGTCTTGCACTTTTGGCACACAACGCTGCTGGCTGCTGTGTTGCTGCTTTGACGGGTTAGGATGAAATGATACAATTTCCCAATGCCAAGCACAATTTATATAGGCAGCGTGCTCATCTCTCTCTGCCGCCTCTCTGCCGAGGCCGAGGCGAACGAAAGCATTTCTGCCTCGGCTAAGAACTGGTCGGGCAAGTTTCTCGCTTGAGTCTTTCGTTTTGCCAGCCAACGGTAACGCGCGTCGCCGTCTTGACGCTTGGCTTGGAAAAGCATTGTTACTGTAATTTGTTGGCCTTATGCGCCGCACTGCGCTGCTTTCGCTTGAAGTTCATGTAACATTTTCAAAATCAGCTGAACCTGAAGCTGAGGCGGAGATCAGACGCTAGGCGTCTGCTGAAGCCGATGCCGATGCCGATGCTGATGCTACACTGTGGGAACAATGTTTGGCGGCTTGGCTGCTTACTTTTACCCGAAAAAGGCGCTGAAAAGCGTAATCTTAATTGTTTTTAAATTGAAATTGAAATCGTTTTAATGGCCACGCTTAAGGTAAAAGGCATTTCCCTCTCGCATTTCGCAATGCGCGTCTGTCCATCACAGCAGGTGCAGTGCGCCAGGTGCTGCGATAGCCGTGATCGATCACCGATCACCGATCACAGGTCACCGATCGCCGATCTCCGGTCACCGGTTCACTGGCTCACTGACTCTGCAGTCACGACTGGAGCGTCACGTTCGTGAGTGTGTGTGTGCCCATTAGAATTTGTGTTACATAAAAGACGGCTAACGAGCCGCGTATGTGGGCCAGGCCAATAAACAGTCAGCCATAAAGAATAAGCCGAATTGGTATTCGATTCGAAATATCATACAACGGCGATCGCAGCCATTCAAAAGGGAAAGTTGCGACACTTCTCGCTGTGGCATGCAGCTAACCGTTGTGCGCCCTTTTTACCGCTGCCCCACCCCCTGTTGGGCACACTGCTTTAGCTTCTGCTTCTGCTTCTGTTTCTGCTGCTGCTTCTGCTTCTGCTTCTACCTGTGCTTCTACCTCCGCTTTTGTTGTTGTTGTTGCTGCTGCTGCATAGATTTATGTGCATATTTTATGCGTTGTCAAATACCAAAATGGCCAAAACAAACAGCTGGCGGTTGCGGCCCGCTGAGTTATTGACTCGCAGCCAGCAATGTGTGCCGAAAGTCCGCTGGGCAAACAATCACACACACACATGCATACATCACATACGATGTTGACCAGTAGCCAGCGGCTGTTAGCCAGCAGTAGTTGGATGCGACAAGTAAAAGTGCGCAAATAGAGTTGATGTTTGGACCAGGAGCAGACACGCAGGCAGCGAGGCAGGCAGCGCGCCTGCATAAATGAAAGTCATCAGGAAAAAGAGAGTTGATAAGCTGCTGCTGAGCGGCAAATCGCATTTGGGGCCCAGGATGCAAGAAAGTGTTGAGTATATGCTTAATTAAAGCATTATGAATGTGTGAAAATGCAGCCAAACAAAAGGCCGGCAAATGGTGTGAAAACGCTTTTCCAGATCAGCCAACGGGGCATCAGCATCAGTGAAAGCGAATTGCATATGTGCATACTGCAGGGGCAAGTGGATGCTGGCCGATAACTGCTGGCAGGAGGCCGAAGGCAGGAGGCAGACGCATTGCGTGCATGGCAAGTAGGGATGCAAATCGTGGCGAGGCCATCGAACGCAGTTGAATGCTAAATTATTTGACATTTAATTAACTCTTGGTTTCTTTTCCCATTTATTTTGCCTCACTCCGTTATATTGTGCAGAAACGATGAGAAACGACACTTTCACTGCATTTCGGGGAGGAGCTCGAATCGGAGCTGAAGCTGGAACTGGAGCTGGACCTAAAGGCGGAGCTGCAGCTGGAACTGGAGTTAGAACTGGAGCTGGAGCGGTGCTCTTCTTGTTCTATTGTGCGAGAGCAACAGGTTTATTTGGTTTCGCTTTGAAAACCAAAAGTAAAATTCATAACAGTTCAACGAGTTTTTAACTGTGCGACCATAAAAGCCAAATGTGAATATATGTACATATAAAGCCGCAGCAACAAGCGAAGTACATATTTTATTTATAATATTGTGGCTGCTGTTGCTGCTGCTGTGGTTGGTGCTGCAGCAAAAAAGAAAGTTCAACGTGAATTTTCCTTTTTCGTAGACAACATTCACCGCCTTGCGACCGAGCCCGACGCGCCGCTCAACGCGTGCAACTTTGCAACTCGAAAATATAAGCTAACAAAGCAGCATGAATGAATGAATAAATGAATGAATGATTGACGGACGGACTGACTGACTGGCTGGCTGCCTGGGTGGGTGCTGCCCAGCCACTCGCAGTGGGTGTTCGAGTAAACAACACTGATGTCGCTGCTGCCACAGTTGCGGGCCATGTCCATGCCGCAAAAGCCGCAGCTGCAGATGTCGCCGCACCGGCCCATCGCAGTGAAACCGTTAAGTAAACTGCAATTGCAATTGCCACAATTGCCAACTGCCAACTGCTACTTAATGGCTTAATTTCGTAGTCAAAGCGGGCTGGTCAAGTGGGCGGCGATGCCCTAGACGTGCCTAAACAGTTACATAGCAATGCCAGTGCGAGAGAGACAGACAGTAAGAGAGAGAGAGAGAGAGAGAGAGAGAGAGAGAGAGAGAGAGAGAGAGAATGAATGAAATACAAATAAACAATATGAAGTTTTTTCATTTATTTATTTTTAAATTTATTTCGCTTAACTATGAACAAAAAA